ACAGAATAAAAACCCATTTGTTCAAAGTGGCCTTTGATCGTACAATCTAAAAATAATTAGTTACATTTTTAGAAAAGGTAAAATAAGGTAATTATTTTATTAAAGTAATAATCAAACTTTAAATTTACATTTTTATTTTTGTTACTTTTATTCCAAGACCATTCAAAGTAATTTACATCACTTTGAATGGTCTTGCCCCTGAAATATACTATTAAAAAAAAAAAATGCCTTGCCTTTTCTTGCTTTGGGCCATTGCAAATTTACTGTTATGCAAGCTGTACACTTGGTACTATAATTGTATCAGAGTGTCACATCTTCTTTGGCGTGTAATGAAAAGATATAATAAAACATTTACATAAATATAATGTACTTAATTTTGTGAAATACTGAAATAATACATGTGAGGGGGTTTTGACATTAATACAAACAAGAGCAACAAACACTGCAAAAAAACACACTAATTTCTATGAATACATAACCAAAATCTCTGCGTCTCAGGGAACTTCACTCTACTAATCTTTTGCTGGCCACCACTGTGGGAATTTGGCTTTGCTTTAATCACAGCATGCATAATACCAAAACATACAAAATCCATAAAAAAATGTAAACCTACAAAGCAAATAGCTGTTGCACGCACTGAAAATATAGTGTAAGTAAAAGATGAAGTAATGGAAAATGTAATTTTTTTTTATGGTATGCTGGAGATGAAGCTGTATAAAAAGATAGAAGCAGAGAAAAAAAAGACATTGCTGGAGTGAAATAGGCTGAGTCTCCCTAGAGCCTTTTTTTCAAACTCAAGCTTAATATCTAAATGTCTATGAAAGAACTTGATATTCTCTTATCTTTCTATGCAGAATTGTTTTCTGCTTTTATGGTCTTCATGTATAGATCTGTCTAGAGCATTCGGTATGATGGGTGGTACTGACCCACTTAGGCTGGTTTATTACTAACAGGTTCTACATAAAGTACTGGAACAATTTTTCCACATAATTTCAAACTGTAGTGCTCTCAACGAGCCTACCTACAAAATTTTGCAAATGCAAAGACCTGCATGTCTTTCTTAATGCGCAACAAGGACAAGACTCAAGGTTATATAAATTTAGTTCCATTAACACATTTGTTTTTTTACTGCTTGTCATTAAGGAAGTGCAAAAAAACATTTGAGATACATGTTGAAAAAGAACTAGTTTCCAAATCCACTTCATGATGATGATGTCTCTAGAAATGCAGCAGAAGGCTCTGCATATTGAGTGAGGACTGGTTTAAGAAATGTTAAAGTGAGAATCAAAAATGGCAAGCCACCTGCTCTGTTCATTACTGCAAACTGTTCATTTCCGGCACAGGTTCTTCAAGTGATTTGCCTCGTGGCATGTAGTATTTCCTCCCACTAAAAACTTGTTAAACACTGATTGTCATTTGGCACTCATCAGCACACCAACAACTGAATACAAACACAAACAAAATAGCAGTTTCCTTCATCTTGTTTCTACTAAGTGTGGGCTAAAGGACACTTGACCTCAAGTAGAAACAGATGTGTCCATCTCTGAGACATGCATAAAAAGAAAACATGTCCTTGTTGGTGCTTGTTAATAGTAGCATAGGAAGTGTAGGTGAGCTACATTTAAGGCCAGATTCGGTAGTACAATACATTTAGCATGGTATGACCAAAGAAAAACACTGTAGGTAGGGACTGCAGCTGTCTTTTGTCGCACTAAATTAAATACTCTACATGTACTAGAACTAACAGGCAATTTATAATATGCTAGCAACCGAAGATGTGTAGCATATAGTTGTAGGAACAGAATGAAAAAATAAAGATATTGGTGTAATAAAATTATGTTTAAAACATTTAGAGTTTTTTTGTTTTTTTTTGCCTACTTCTAAACTGTTAGGATTCGGGAATTAAAATAGCTATAGCTGAGATTAATCAGTGTCTACATATTTCTGGCTTAAAGCCTAACAATTTTCTAGAGATGCACCAATCCAGTTTTTTTCCAATCCAATCTGATAATTATATCTGGGCTGGGCATATCGGCCGATACCGATCCAATTCAACTGTTAAATATTTCAACCTTAGGTATATATTGCTAGTGAAATGTTTAGCCTTAACATAAAAATTGTTAGAAAAAGGTAAGAAATTAACACAGATATAAATGTAATTTATATTATATATGAGAAATAAGAGCAAGGTATCAGTATCCAGGTATCGGATAAGTACATCTATATATTTTCCCAGACTTTCTGTTTTTTCAAGAGTTCATTACTTTTCCAGATTTTTTTGTAGTTATCAATGTTTATAAAAAATCACGATGGATGGATGGATGGATGGATGGACGGACAAAATACCTTGCTGATGTCAGAGATCTGAGCATAATGGTTTAAGTTAACCTCTTAACATCCACCTCATTTTGGGTAATCTTATTTTGCATACCCAAATGGAAAAACAAATAACTTAGGAACTGTAAGCCCAAATTACATGTGCACTACATTATTTGAAAGCTAACACCCTCTAGTTTCTTAATATATAAATTAAAATTGGGTGACTAGAACACAGACCAACCTGCATCAGTTCAAACATGACTCAAAGTTGTTGTTTTTTTTATTCTCGGAAATTATAGGTCTTTTTTTTAAAAACAAACACTAATAAAGACATTCTTGAGAAAAATCAGGTTTTATGGTATTATATTTGTTGTACATCATGTCAATCACAAATGCGGAACATTTCAGACCTCTAGCTTTAACACTTCCAGAGCTGTGGGGTTTGGAACTGTTGGTGTAGGCTTGGAGCTGAATGCTCCATCTGCTTTTAAAAATTTTACCGGTGGAATTTTATGCATTTTATATTGTAAAGAAATATCTGGGCAATATACAGACTAGAAGGACCCCCAGGTGGAAAAGGGAGTCACCTTCCAAAGTGGTGGAAAAAGACAAAACTAAGATCCTGTGAGACTCCCAGATACAAAAGGACAAAAATGGTATAGGCCAACCCACCGGACATTGTGATAAGCAGCTGATAATAACCCTAGTGATCGATGTGGCTATCCCAAATGGTGAAAACATCAGGAAAAAAGAACATAAGAAATTGTAGAAATACCAAATACCAAATACTACTGGAAGGTAAAGCCTTCCAGCAGTAGTACCTGTTGTCAGCTGAGCACTCGGAGCAGTAACCGGAGAAGTGGCTTCAATAATTACCAGCGGAAACACCAGAGATCTCAGTCAAGAAATGCACAGTTTTACGGACAGCTAGGATACTGAGAAGAACCCTCAAGCTTCAAGGCCTTCAAGTAGAGAACTTGACCTTGAGAAGAAGAAACCACCCACCCCACCTAGGGTAAGGCTGGGTAAGATTGCTGTCTTTTTATATATAAAACCTGCTGTGGTGACCTTGGTTACACTATTCTAAACCTCCACAAGCTTTGCTTGTGTAGACCCCTACAGTATATTCCAATTTTGAGCATTAGTTGAATTAGCACGCTTCAGAATGCCATTAAAAATTTACAGGTAGAAACTGTTGATAAGTTAGTTTTTACCAGCAAGCTATAAGGGACATGAGAGTTTGTTATTGTAAATGCTTACTGTGCCAGTAATCCGTGTCTTGTTATTCACATGAAGTGCTCTGATGTCCTTTACAAAGCACTTAAAATACTGAATGTATGCATTCGAACATTTTAGGCTGTAAATCTCTTCCACTGTAGACACTTTTCACTAATTAGCTGGGTACTACATATCAGACAGTTTGTCCTTGTAATTTTTGCATTGCAGATTGGGAGGAGGGATTTTGTGCATTTATGTGATAAAATGCACATGTTTACTCTTGCACACTGGTAAGGAGTATCAATACACTTTCTCTGTCTTTGCCTGAAAGCCATGATGGTTGTGCTTGCCTAATGCTGCACTTGACTACCAAGATGGCTTGTGTAAAACTTCCTGTTTCACGCTTTTGGGAATGGTATATTAGCTGGACAAAGCTGTCCTCATATTTTAGTTTAGACACTGTATTTTAACCATGAAACCATCAATCTACACCAAAGATCGAGAAGAAAAAGAAAGATACACTTGACTTTTATTTAAAAAAGTTTAATTTAAAACATTCTTATGCTAGATGTCATTTCCCTGAGCCTTTTATAATCTGTTTGGTTTGAGTTTTTTTACGGTGTTAAGAAAGCTAAAAAGTAAAGGGATTTTCGAATACAATTGCAGAAGGTAGTTTAAAAAGGGTATGCTTTTTCCTTCTTGTCATGAATAACTTCATGGGAAGGCCTCATGGTGACTGCAGGAGTTCCAAAAACTGAACTCAATTATTTTAATACAAAAAGATGTTTTTTGGTTCAATATTTCTTTAGCCTATCACTAGAGGATAGGAGCTCAGCAAGTGATATCACAACCCAGAGTAATTATTTCAAGGGTCTACAAACCAACAGAAGTTGCAATTACAAAGACAACAGGCAGTCTCTGCATATCAGTGGGTTTGGAGGCAAGGGTATCTGTATTTCCTATTAGAGGAAGATGAAATGAAAAAGAACATAATGCATTACCTGGAATGAGAAATTTGAAATTCCTCCCTGTTCATTATATGTACACACACCTACACTGCATAAACACCAATTTCTTTTTCACTCCCAATGCACCCCAGCCCAGAACTGATTGATTAGATATTGAAATAATCTGTCAGCATGTTTTAGAGAGGTACTCATCTGATAATGAATGCATCACCTCAGCTGGAAGCTAATTATATTAGAGACACAACTTGGTTCTGCTGTCTTGCTCTCACTGTGTGGGCCCCATTGGGAGACAAAGTCATCCAGCAACACAGCTCTACCACTCTAGCTCATCAACTCTCACAGTAAAGATTTCCATTGGCTATGCCCACTTACTCTAAATTAAAAAACTGCTCCTCTACCAGCTGCCTGGACTCCATCAGGTGCACACTCAAACCAACGGGAATGTATAAAGACAAAGAGTGATAGTGACAGGAGGAAACTAAGTTACAGAGCTACCTGATCTGCAACAGCACGAGACAATTTGTCCATCCTGGAACCTGCTTCTGCAATCTTCTTCGCTGCGTTGATCACATCTGAGGAGTTCTTCAGGGGACCCTTGCCTCTGTAAGAATTTGAAGAGGTAGAAATAAAAAAAAAGTCTTCTGAGGGAAAAGTTACAGCCACTGATAAAAAAAACAAAACTGAGCATATATATAAAAACACAGCATCAAATATGAAATCAGTAACTACCTTACATAGTTTTTGTCTAAATTGAGTTGGAAAAAAATGGTGTTTTAATCTGTAAGCTTTAAATGGGTTGTGTTTTCAGTTTTGTGTTTGTTTTTTTGAGGTATTCATATCTTTTTTAGTATTTCTGCAATTTCTCAAATCATAGAACAGCAAAAAATGCACTGGAGGTACAGGAATACTGTTCAAAATTAAAGTTACACATTTCTTCTCTTCAACACTGTCCTATGACATTGTTTCGCCCCAGTTAGATTGATTACCTCCTCTTCATCTGCTCAATCACTTCTCAATCCAACTGCAGCTTGTTGCAAGATCAGGATTTTACCACACTATGTTCTTAAAAAGAGGAAATGTTATCTTTCTTCAGCCTAAGCAATACAGCTTTTGTCCACTGGGTAGAGCTAAAATCGACCAAAAATGTAACTTCTTTAGTACTGCTTAGTGCTGCTAGATACGTATTAGGTGGTAAAGAAAAAAAATACAAATATTTCAGTAATGTAACAGCTGGTGCCAACAGAAAAAACCTTAATAAATATGAGCTTGCTGTTGAAATCAAAGCAATTACTTACTTATTATTTGTGATGTATGTTTAATATGAATCAAAAACAGAAAGACTGAAATACTTTGTATTATAATTGGGACTACTACTTTAAAAAAAAACAAAAAACTGTAATGGCTCATGTTTGCACAGTGCAAGTTTGCAAACGCTGAGCAGTGATTTATGTTGCTCATAATGGTCTCTGAAACAGGGGAGGCTCAATGGTGTTAATTAAATCCCAAAGTAATATATTGCAATAACAAATGTTGAAACACATTAAAACACATTACTGCAATATGGGAAAATAGCTGTTGTAAAGGAGAGGCTCAGCCTCACTGGAAGTAAGGGATTTGTGTTAGTTATCCAAACAGATACCTACTTTCTCGCTGTTTGCTTCAATGCATGGAGTCTCAAGTCTCAATGGAAATTTCTCATAGAGATTTAAAAGCAACGTTCTGCTGCTCAAAGGTGGAGGGAAGATCCCAACCGAGAGCTTCCTCAATAGCCTATTAATGCCCAAAATACTAATGAATTTAAATGCATTTTAGCAAACATTTAATGTGTGCTAAAATTTCACCAATCTAGTATTTAGTGAGATGTCAACACTGTTTAGGCTATTTTAATTTTATACATTGTTTTGTGCTGTCGAGATTTGCTAGATGTGAATCGTACAAAGTGGTGGTGTGTCACGTACATACTATACCAACGATTTACAGAAGGGGTGTCAAACTGGCTCCAGAAAGGCCCATGTGGCTGTTGGTCAGTCATCTCATCAAATGGGTTCATTCTAAACCTGAACACTTGATGAGATAATTGTAGTCTGCTGTGCTACTGCTTGGTTGGGCAGCCACATTGCCCTTTTTGGAACCAGTTCAACACTGATTTATAGGATCGACAGAATTTAGAATAGAAAATATATTGGTTTAGGGAATTAATTTTTTTCTAATGTAATCTAGAAATGTACCTTTTTTTCAAAGTAATAAATATTTTCAATAAAATGTAACTGAAATAATGTAACTATATATATATATGTATATATATATATATATATATATATATATATATATATATATATATATATATATATATATATATATATACACCAATAAAGCTCTGGGACATCTATTCACAGAGCTGTATTGGCATAGCAGGACACAAAAAAGCTGTATTTTTTCCTTCTTTCATCTAAGCCAACTGTCCTTAGGGTTGCCAAAACTTGAAAATAATCTAAAATGAGACCTTGAAAAGTCCATCTGATCTTTATCACATCTTTTCAAAGTTCTGCTAGGATGCTCTGCGGAGGATTTAAGGATCTTGAAGTTGCTTTAGATCGAGTAGACTTCAACCACTCTGAGCTGTTATTCTAGGCATTGAAATACTGTTGGGATCAGCTGGGCTCTGATAAGTAGCTGTGCCAATTGTCGCCAAATTTCTGAGCCACGGTATTGCTGGCAGCTTGCCTACCTTTCTGTTAATGTCTGTTCATGGCTACAGCACTGGAATTCTATTCAGGCTCAAACAGGACTATGTAAAGGCAATCAGGGCAGATTTTCGGTGTATATCACCTTATTTTATGTTTACCAAATGGTTTTTGGTCCTTTTGTATGGGTATATGACATGACTATTTCCCTTTGATTAACTGATTTTAGAGATTCAGCTCACAAAAAAAAGAACTGCCTCTACCAAGACAGTCCCATTTCTTGCGAAAAAAACAAATCTGGAATTTAAATCAATGACCTTTTGAAACCAACCGACTGTGCTAATGACCGCCTCATGACTTCCCAAAGAGTTGAAAATATACTCAGTTAAAGTGATACAAAGACGGATTCTGTTCTTATTAGGTGACCTCTGAAAGCAAATACTATCACTAGATAATTTATTATAACTTATAACAAGGTATCAGAGTTAAGGGGTCTTAATAGATCTGCATATAATTCTTTAATTTGTTTATGGTTCTGTGAATGCTCTTGAGGCACGGGATGTTGAGTTACTGTGTAACTGTGACCACTGAGGCAAATTATGTGTGATGTGGGATTCTTGTTCAGTCATAGGCTAAATCTGCGTTGCGTGTCCTGATGCCAAACTGACTAATTGGGGTTAACAACAAGTAATAATGGTGCCGTCATAGCACTACAGGCAGAGACACTCATGACTACTCAGCTCCCTGATTTCTAATTATGGATTTTATTTATTTATTTATTTTTCTTGTCCTATGGTTTTAATTGAAGGAATTAATCAAACCCAATTTACTGGGTCAGCAAGTATCAGATATTTTTGGGGGTATTTTCCTCATAATCAAGCTTAGGTTGAAGATATTTGATATATTTCTGCTAGATTTAAAGTGGAAGAAATTATTACACTTTGAACCTTTTAGTTTTGTTAAAAGTGCAAACTTCATTATATTCTTTGGAGATTTTATGAGATGTACACTGCAGATTAATGTTGGAAATAGTGTAAAAGTTATTCCTTACTGTAATTACAACTTTTAGTCTTCTGTCCTTTTTCCTCCTTCATTTTTATCATGTTTGGCTATTCTTATTTGAAAAATCTCAAGCAAAGTCTGAATCTTATTAAGAAACGCATCAACACATCATGACCTTGTCACTGCCACGTTTTACTGTGGGAGTGAGAAAGTCAATAATATATATTGGTATATAGTCAAGTACTTCAGTTATCTTTACATTATCATGGTAGCTTATAGCGTTATTAACTTTATAATTTTCTATGTGGACATTGTTATTGTTCAAAGTGTTTATAAAGACAGCTGTTCTGAGTTTGTCAGGAATGTATTAATAGACTATTGCTTATGTTTAAGGGATTAGGGAAATGCTTATTTGAATTTCTCTCATTGCCTGTGCAGACTGCTGGGTCCCAGAACTCACCACCACAAAGAACAGAGCCTCGTTTTTATCATTATATAGATGATGTCAGAACTCCTGTCTTTGTGTTTGTGTTTCTGTGTTTGTCTCCTTCATCCACCAGGAGGCGCCTGGTTCTGGTCCGCCTCCTCACACACCTGCTGATGGTTTTCTCGGTAACTGAGTGTTCTTAAGCTGCTGACTGCCACTACCTCGATGCCAGAGTGTTTGCCAGTTTTGGGTACTCTAGCCAAGCTGAGTTTTGGTCAACCTGAGTTTACTTCGTTTTTGTCTTTGCCTCTCGGCAGGAAGTCATCCTGCAAACTAGATTTCTCGGACCTTCACTCCCTATAAGGATCAACTGAGCTTCAAACTGAGCTGGGATTCAAACAGGAGGTTTGGATCCACTTTCCCCAAGAGATCGTTTGAGCTTCTCACATCGTTTGAGCTCTCCATTACGACCCGTTCAAGTACCACAGGAAATCTGAGTGGCAGTCAGTTTCTCCATTAACCAACTACAACCGCATTCTGGGTAAACCCTGTTCCGCCCTCCACCAAATCAGACAAACACTGGAACCAAGGCAGACAGACAGGAGACAAGGATTCAACAACTTCTCTGGAAACATGAGTCGGCAACCAAATCCTCTTCTCTAAGTTAACGAGTCAAATTCCCCACTGAGCCTGAACTAACCGCTGTCTTGTCCCCTCTCCTTACAGTTCTGGTTGAGCAGTGTTCAGAGGAACACTTCTACCCCTGCTAAACTTCTTCAATAAAACCCGTCAAACCTTTTCCCTGGTCTCTCTGTTCGGTTTTCTGCATTTGGGTCTGAACTTTGTAAAATCATGACAGATGACCTGAGTTGGGCTTAGATTTTTGTTTAGAATTTTGTTTTCTAACTTTCATTTTTAAATCCTTCTTAAAATTTCATTTTCGTTTTGCTTTACCCATTCCATTTACTTTTTTCGTGACCTTGCTTATCCCTGAGCACACTGAAAACCAGTTGAACCAATCATAGTGGAGCCTCGGATGTAACGAGCTCTCTAATTGGTCATTTTGTTAACTAAATGTGGCAGTGTGTTTCTCTTTAATAATTCAGTTTAAAATGTGGAATTATAAAATGCTTTTCAAATATGATTTTAATTTGCCTGATATAAATCTTAAAGGGGTCATAAAATGTAAAACCGTGTTTACATTGTCATAGATGAATAACGATAGTTCAATGGGTGAAATGGACGTACAAAGAAGTTCAAACCCCATCGACACCTCCTTTCTCTGTTAACTTCCACCATAACACGGGCGAATTTAAACAAAGGGGGGGTGGCTGCTGGGCCGCTGACTGGACTGAACCGGGCATTCAAACCAAGCAATTAGCTTCGGGGCTGGTCCAGAGCCAGCCGGGGACGGAGCGACCAATCCCGAACCGGTGACGTGATGCTTCCACCCACCTACCTTACCGGAAGCACGGGCAGCGGCTACCGTCACCAGGTCGGGTTCGGCCGCTCCGTCCCTGCTGGCTCCCTCCCCCCGTACGCCGGAGTTCCTGGACCGGTCCCGGAGCTCGTGGCTCGGTTCTGCTGCACTGTAGTTAACCAAAATCCCAGACGATTTCGAAATTCAAACCGAACATTTTTTTAGGTATGAAAAGTAGGAAATGTCCGGGAAAGGGAGGACAGCTGGTTACCCTACCATATCAACAATGTGATGTTTCAGTGAGTGAGTGCTTGTTGCCATGATGCGTCTTTGCTCAGCAGCTTCGCTTGTTGTAAACCAACCAATCAGCGCACAGCTCATCTAAATATTCATAAGCATACCATTAAAGTAGGAAAACCTGTCGTTTCATTCTGGGGCTCTTAACCAGGCCTACATTAGGGCGCATAGAACAGCCAATATACCATTTTCAGCCCAACCAATGTTACACACCCTATTCAGAGACCTTAAGGACCAGCACCAAATACCCTATATAATCATTCTATGACCCCTTTAAATTTGTAAAGGCTATTTTTAGTCTTTCAGTGATTCTAGGACCTTTATAAAAGAAAAGCTTATCTTTCTTTAAGAAATGTGTGAATTCTGAAACAGAAAATAAACATATTTGCAGCTTAATTATGTTTTTAAAACCAGATGACATTCATTATGTACCCAGGATTTAATCTCATGTCTTACCTATTGAAAGCAAAGATCAAATACACTACACCAAAGATAGACTGAATGCTTGGGCCAAAAAATTATATAATTCTACAAACTTTAAGAGTTAGCGCTTATATATTAGCTTCCACTGTTCATTTATAGGTTAATACTTATTAATTTGGGGAAAAAAAGGCCTTCCTTAAATTATGACATTTCTAGCTAAGAGAAGTTAAGAAAAGTTCCCTAACTAACCCAAAAAATAAAAGTAAAATGTATATTTTGCCTAAATAATTTTTTTCAGTGCTGAACAGGGCTAGAGAAAAACACAAATAAATACTTGAACAAATATTGAGGTTCAGTAAAAAAAAAGCTACAGGAATTTATATGATTTAACAAAGTAAACTGCAATACTTGTAAAATCCCAAACTGCTACCTTCATAGTGTGTACCAAAATCTTACTTTTTAAAATACATTTATATGAAAAATACATCTAAATATATGAAATACATTTCTATCACGCCCCCTACTTCTAAGTATTTCATGATGACCAATTTTGATTTAGGCTGTGATTACCTGGTGAAGTCTGTCATCTCCATCATGATCATACACATCTGCTTGGCCAGCACAATGATGTCATTGCCATTGTCGTCCCACTTGGCCACTTCTGCATCAAGCTTGCACTTCTCTTGTCTGAAGCTCTCCACCTGCTCTGCAATCTTTGCTTTCTCCTCCTGGGGAAGCTGTGCCATGATGGCCTGTAGACAACAAATCAAAACTGTCAGAGGTGGTAGAGGAAACATTGGAAAGTTCAGAAAAGAAAATTGTAGCTTTGTGTCAGTCATAACTGAGGAGAAGAAACAGAGGGAAAAAACTGAGGTAGAGACATTAGATAAAACTGGAGAAAAAATTGGAACACAACTTAAGAAAACAGAGATAGATCACTGGAATTTGAGAGCCTACTAAAGCTAAGGCCGGTTTTTTACTTTAAGATACTGCAAAACTACAAACTTAAACATTAATTTTCTAGTCTTGCCCTTTAAGAACACTTTCAAATAATGTTCTTGACTTTGTATTTAATGACCAGACCTTTTCAAAACCCTTGACATCTTATACCCATAAAAGCAAATCCATTTTTGCCATCAGTTCTTTCCCAGCTATGAAAATACATTTCCTCTCTTAGCAGCCTTTGGGGGCAGGTCTAAAACGGCATAAATCTTGTGGCGAGGTCACAAGCGCAGTTAGGACCTAGTATTATTTGGAAGATAAATGTATAATTACCTAGCCTCTAAGACCAGGGAATGAATAATGTATTTCTTCAACATTATGTCAGTGAGGTGAGGTGGAAGGAAGAGTAACCTGGTTTCCATTAGGTCGATTATATTGACTCAAGAGGCATAGATTGAAAATGAGCACATTGAAAAAAAGGCCTAAATTCACTGTTAGTTTTTCCAACTTCCCTATTATTCATTTCTATCTGCATTCCATAGAATTTATACCTTCTTTGAATGCATTAAAAACACCTCCTCCTCACCCCTTTGGCCTACTCCCTTGAAATATACAGTGTGCACATGTGCACTATTACTATGCACTCATTAGAAGATGCATCAGGAAAATAAAAAAAAACTAAGACAATAAAAATTTGAAAAACGGACAGACATAGAAAGGCTTAGAGACCCAGCTTTCTCATCAAAAATAGAACTGAAACTTCACTTTTTGATAAAGCTTACTCATAGTGTATGAGGTATTCCTAAGCTAGCTGTATAGAATGGTATAGAATCAGAATCAAGTTTATTGCCAAGTAGGTTTACACTTACAAGGAATTTGACTTGGTATTGATGGTGCAGACAAATTAAATAAATATACAGAATACAGAATCTATATAGTATATAGCTATGTACTATATACTGTACACAGTAGATTGTGTTAATGTAACGAAGGAGGTCTGGAGATGCTATGTTGGTGTGGCTTCTAGGTCCTGAACGGGGGAGGGAGAGAGGCAGTGTCAGTCAACTTTTCTTGAGGTGTGAGGTTTTGGTCCTGATGGACTGTAGCCTCCTGCCAAAGGGAAGTGACTGTAATAGTTTGTGGCTGGGGTGCGTGGGATCAGCCAGAACCTTCCAGGCTTAGGTTGCTGAAAGATAAGGCCCTGCTGAAACATATGGACCACTTTTCTTAATTTTGCTTCATTTTACTCATATTCTCCAACTCTGCATTATTTCTTAGTACAAAATCCAACTTCATGTTCTCTCTTATTTTTCTTATTGTTGTTTGATCTGGCCTTGTGATCTGTTGGTCTGTGACACCATACTGGAAGGAGGCATTTGTTGGGCAGCAAGCATTAACAACCTTCTTTCCAGCTGATAGAGTTGGGCCTTTTTTCAGTGCTTTGTCCTATTTCTCTAGTGGATATAGCTATGGGCTCATATTTTAACGTGATTAACACTATGTGCTCTCTTTAGCCCCTTTTGACATAAAAACATTAAAAGCTCATTTGTTTAACTCTTACAGTACTTTTCTGGACTATGAAGCTAGTTTACCACAATATTTTCTAACAGAAGGTTTTAATGGATGAGGGCTCCTCTGTTCCTTTTTATGTAGGCTTTTTGAACTACCCTGTCGGCCTTGGGAGAAGGCCGCTCACACAGACCCTGGTTCTGCTGGCGTTTTTTTTTTTGCTAAAAGGGAGTTGTATTTCTCTTCGCTGTTGCTGCATACATGCTTCATGCAAGAGATTGCTGCAGTCAATCACACAATGCAAGTGAATTACTCCATGTTTATCCAGAGGGAGCAAATCCTCCAGGGTCAATGACTCAATGCAATCAGCTGTGTTTCCTGAAATAAATAACTTATAACTAATATGTCTGTGTGACTTGATTATCTCTGTAAAATGCCTTGAGATTACATGTGTTGTCAAATGGCGCTATGTAAATAAACTGAATTGAATTGAATTAACATGTGGGGATAAGTTTAGGTCTTCTCATAGCACTCTTAGAGTGGCAATGCAAGGCATTCATGGTTGGTATTTAAAAAGAAAAATGCTTGGCATAAACAAACAAGCTAAAGTAGCCCCCTCAAGCCCAGTGTAGATTTCTTCTGCTTCTCGTGCCAGGACACACGAACAACACCATGGAGGCAAATCCAATTAAACAGCATGTGGGGTGAGAACACTGCCCTCATTTAAAACAAATACCAAGTTAATATGTATTTTAGCTGCACAGCAAGGATTAAACAATTTAAATACATATTAAATTTTAGCAGTCACACATATATATCATCACTACAAGTATATGAACATGCATTGGTTATTTTCTTTTTGTTTCAGGATCTAGGGCAGACCCACTTTAATTAATTTAATCTATAACTGAACATATAGAATATCTGAATTCCATTTACATGTTAAATCCCCAGCTATAGATTATCTTGATACTTAGATAAATCCCTAAAGTGATTTATATTGGAGTCTGTTTTTTTTTTTTTTTAATAAACAGTATAAACTAGGAAAGGAAAAAAACAAAAAACAAATAATTGTTCCATGAGGTAATGGCTGGGTTTAGTTTGCTTTTGCTTGTCTTTTTTTAGTCACTTGTGTATTGCTAAGGAACGCGTTGATCGGTCAAGAGTATTTTTTAAATTGGTCAGAAACACTGTGCTGATCCAACGCAGCAGTTAATTGGCTCACCACAAGCCTCTCCAAGATCTTAGTAGTAAACAGACACTTGGAAATGGCTCTGTAACAGGGATGGCAACTCCAGACCTTGAAGACTGTTGACCAGCAACCTAAAGATGTGTCCTTGTTCAAGCATACTTTGATTAAATGTCTAAAGTACATCTTCAGCATGCAGGTTCTCCTGAGTCCTGCTAATTATCTTAATATTTGATTCAGTTAACTTGAAGCAGGGGCACCCACATCTAAAAGTGTCAGGACACATGCTTGAGAACTGGAGCTGCCCATCCCTGGTCTATAACAATCAAAGTAAGAGGATCTAAATATCTGTTTTCAGAATGCAGGGAGTTGAAAAAACTTTACGTGAAGGTGCATGGTTTGGGATGTTTTCCAAGTAACTATTAATGTGACTTAAATGAAAACATCTTCAGAGGAGGACTTGCAGTTAGACTTGGGATCATTGTTCTTCTGCAAACCCGAAGGGACCTTGTGCTTGAAATCCTAAAATGCGGGGTGGAGAGTCTTTGCCAGACAGTAGAATTCATTTGTCCATCAATTACGGCAAGTTATCTAGGCCCTGCAACAACACAGCAAAGCAACTTAGATTTACAACAGATATAGTGGGACACACAGCCTCCAAAAAGTTTAGCTCTTTGGAAGTTCCCCTTTTGGGTCCACATAAAATCTTCTCATCAGAAGTCTTCGAGACCATTAAGTTTTTTATTTTATTTTTTTTAAAATGTGAAATAGACCATCTGTTTTGGCCTATAATGAGGTCTGCAGAGCCTTAGATGTTGATCAGGTTTTTCTATATGTCTGGATAGTACTCAAGGAGTAATTTTGCTAGGTCAGACTTTACTGGAAAGTTTTATCCCTGTTCCATGTTTTCTCTTTTGATGGCTAATGATTCTGTAGTATTGTTTGCTGGAGTTGAAGAGGTTTAGAAATTACTTGGTTATCATTTTCCAGACTGACCTATGCAAATTACTTTGCTCGTTCAGACCCCGGAATATAGCCTAATTCATATCACAAAGACTCTTAATTTAACTGGTCAGACAATAAATATCTGTAGTTAACATCTAATGTTTTGACTTTATCTTTCAAGGGGCATCAGTATTTTATGCATTTTAGGGACAGTTTGGTTGGGATTCCTTTTTCCTTCAGAAAATAAAGTTATTATTAAAGTATTGAATTCTGTATTTCCTCTCATTAACTGATATTAATGTTTGTTTTATGATCTGGGGGGATCACTCGCCTAGGATGTGTCAGACTTGCCCTTAGGCACATCACTTTACCCGGTGATGGTAAAAGAAATATATTTACTTTTCTATTTCCATCGTAAACCCTTTTTAACACCGTGTTCCTGTGGAAACAACAAAACTAATTTCTGCCCACTGACTCTTTAAGGCTTCTTGGTCTCTCAGCTTGAAGTGTTGGCATGCCAGTGGCACCCTGGGGTGTGGTTTGATGATTACATACTCATGTCCAGTGTGGCCAAAAATATAATATAAACAAAGCTGTTCAGTAATTGCAGCCTAATCAACAGGAGCTCTGTGGTGACATTCATCAGGATCGCCTGACTTCAGGACTGTAGGGTGGCCATTAACATATTTGCTTTTTTATACTTCCTGTCCCCAACTGTTAAAGCCATAAATTATTCACTCAAGTCTATAATTACTTTAAAGTGTGTACAGCTGGTATCTTAGATTTGACCATGTGTGATTTTTCTTAATGCCAATGTTCTGAGTCACAGTGAAAATGTAAACAGAGATTTATTAATAATTCTATGTGTGGCTAATTCTCTGAGTAGAATAAAATCTTCCCCACAATCTTTGTACTAAAGAAACACATTAAGTCAGGGCAGAGTGCTCTTTCACATAAGTGAAAGAGTATAAAGTCTTTGGGAGAAATATAGAAAATTCCCTGTCCAAAAAATAGGTCTGGGGGTGTCGGGTAGGGGAGTAAGGGATTTGGTTAGTATAGCAATTCACTTCTAAAATAGTGTGACAAAATAGAGCATGTCAGGGAGGAAGGCAGAGAAAGGGTTGTGAACACAAAGGAAAGCTGCACAGCAGAGGGGTAAACACATGA